TAGCTCTTTGGTTCACGAGTTATACGTTTATTTGTGAAAATATAAAAAGAAGAATTTTTCATGGTAATCTTGTCTTTGTGTTTATCATAATTTTATCATAATTTCATCTTCAATGACCTCAGCGATGACCTAATCCAAAAATGACCTTTACGTTTCTGAAGCATCCTACAGCTATCTGTTGCTTTTCTCGTCTTTCTAGCCTTCTTAAATTATGATCGGGTTTGGCCGATACGCCCCCCATGGCTGATTGCACGCGTTAGAGCTATCGAACCCACTTTCAGCACGCTATAGCTTTATATGTTCTCGAGTGTCGAAATAGGCGAAACTTTTCCTTCGATGAAAATGATGACGAGGGCTTTGGTCTGAACTACAACATGACTGAAGTAATTTCTCCATGATTTTCGACGCTCCTAAGAAAGCCGCCTACCGCCGCACTTGTCGCTACGTGACCCTGGAGTCAGGTTAGAAGGGAATATTCAAACCCCTCTCAGGGGCGTAAAACTGAAAAGCCTGGGGCCCTGCTCTGCGGGGCGCGGTCGAGCTAGGCTAGAGCCAGTTCGGGATGTTTACAAGCCCACGTAAAGCCCTCAAGAATCTGCATAGAGCACAGGCCTTCCAAGACTTGGGGGTTTATATATCAAACATCGACATGGTCTTTTGAGACCTGCGTGGTGGCTATCAGAGGTCGGTGTGCCTCTCAAAAGCCGGTGCAGGAGCCTCAGGTGTCAGTTTGGAGCCATCATGGACCGGTGTGGAGTCCTGATGAATACCTAGGCGTCAAACCCCTACAAAGACGTCAGGATGGGGCCGGGCGGTGAGGCAGGCACAGGCCTGAAGAGAAGAGGAATTTTCAGATGTCGGCTTGGCATCTTAACCCTCGCCGGACCTATTGATTTTCTACATACGCGCCGGCCGAGGGGGGGGGGGCGGGTACGACCCCCCCCCCCTCGCCGTTTCGCCCCTGGTGGAGCTAGCGCGTCGCGGAAAAAACGAGCGTGTGCGCCGTTACGAGACGCAGAGATTGGTACCCGATTTTAAGGTCCTAGGTCAACCGGTGACCTCTGAGGTCAGGTCAAGTGCCCAAAGGTACGGTTCAGTTTTTGGTGAATAACTTCGTAAAAAACGGCCGCAGAGCGCCGATTTTGGCAGCATCGTGTTCGTCTCGCTCAGGCGCGTCGAATGATATACTTTTTGTCCGGGTCAGGTCAACTTGGGGTGTTGACCTCAGGTCAAGGTCAGGTCAGCACCCCCAGGTCACGAAGTTGGTCGAAAGAAGTCATGTCGCATATCATTCGATTCGGCAGGTCTTCCTAAGTCCATTGGTGGCTTTCCCGACTCGCTAGCTCAATTTGATCAAGAGTTATTGACGAAAAACTAATATGACCTTGATGACGTCATAAATGACGTCACGCAAGGTCAACATTGCAAAAGTGACGCATCTAACCTTGCAAGGAGTGCATCAAATCACGATTCTGTGTGGTTGAGATAGTTAGAGATCGTTCCCGGCGCCAGAATAGCAGTTTTCATTTTTCCCCATTGACTTATAATGGTGAGGTCACGAAAATGACCTGACCTCATATGACCTTTAGGAAAAATCCGAGATATGCAAGTTGTGGGACTCATAATGGATACTAGATCCTGCAAGTTTCATTTCCCTGTGACATCTCCTCTGGCAGTGAGGGCGTTGCGAAGTTGCGACATCTGAAGACCGTGCAGAGGTTCACTTATGACGCCATAGGTCAGTGACCTGACCTGACCCAAAAATGCGGTTGGTGTCAAAAGATGCGGCTTGGATCAAAGGTCAGGTATGCCAAGTTTCAGCTCTCTATCGCCAGCGTGTTCGGAGCTATCGCGAAAAAACCCTATGGGGGGGGGCGGCACCCGCCCCCCCCCTCGGCCGGCGAGGGTTAAGGGCCCTGCATGGCTTTCTCAGAGGCTGACATGTCGTACTGCGGGACCTCCACGAGCCTCAAAAACCTCTATGGGCCCCCTCACGCTTGGGGTAGGCTTCCTGAAGCATAAAATCTCTGAGTCTTGAGATGGGCCCATTAGACATGAACAGGGCCATCAATATACATGTGGTGAGTTGGCCTATATCAAACATGATATCGGCTCAATCAGGATTGGGATAGGCCCTCTCAGACCCAGACCAGGCACGGAGTACGGACCCTCCCACACATAGGATGATCCTTTCATTCCTGGGATGAATCTTCTCAGGCCTGAACTGGGCCCTCTCAGACCTGAAATGGGTCCCTCTCAGGCCTGAAGTAGATCCTCTCAGGCCTCAAATAGGTCCTCTAGGGCCTGAAATGGGCCCTCTCAGGCCTGACATTAGCCCTCTCAGACCTGAAATGGGCCCCTCTCAGGCCTCAAATAGGACCTCAAGGGCCTGAAATGGGCCCTCTCAGGCCTGACATTAGCCCTCTCAGACCTGAAATGGGCCCCCTCAGCCCGGAAATGGTCCCTATCATGTCGAAAAAGGGCCTCTCAGGCCTCAAACGGGCCCTCTCTGGCCTCAAACGGGCCCTCTCTGGCCTCAAACGGGTCCTCTCTGGCCTCAAACAGGCCCTCTAGGGCATGAAATGGGCCCTCTCAAGCTTGAAATGGGCCCCCTCAGGCCTGAAATGGCCCCTCTCAGGCCTGAAATGGACCCAATCAGGCCTCAAACATGCCCTCTAGGGCCTGAAATGGACCCCTTCAGGCCTGAAATGGGCCCTCACAGGCATCAAATGGGCCCTCTCAAGTCTCAGGCCTGGAATGGGCCCCTCTCAAGCCTCAAACAGGCCCTCTAGGGCCTGAAATGGGCCCTCTCAAGCTTCAACTGGGCCCCTTCAGGCCTGAAATGGGCCCTCACAGACCTGAAATGGGCCCTCTCAGGCCTGAAATGGCCCTCTCATGCCATGGAACGGGCCCTCCTAGGCCTTGAATTAGTTCAATCGGGCCTTGGATGTACCTCCTGAAACATAATATGGGACTATAAATCCTAAAGGGGGGGGGGGTATCAGGCCTGAAAACTGTTTTTCAGTCCTATGACGGACCTTGACATTAGTGATAAAAAAATGTCAGGCTGCATAACGTTACAGTTCGAATCGACGGTGGGCCCCTAGGATAAGAGACGGGGGTGAGATCTCACCCCTTTCACCCCCCCCTGGCTGCGCCACTGGTGGTGCCCCTGGAAGGTCTTTGGGCCCCCGGGCCTCAAGGGGGGGGGGGGCATGACCCATGTGACCCCCCCTTGGATCCGCCCCTGATTGCAGCGCTTCATTCGGCGACGCTATCAAATTAAGGCAAGCAAATACGGAATAGGTACAAAAGCAACGAGGTAAATTAATTGAATTGTAATTGATATAAAAGCTGAGCACCGCCACTTTTCAATTTTCAGCGGCTCTTTAGCCCACGCGAGAGCTGATTTACAATATTTCGCAGCCTCCGGAACCGTAAAATACCTACCTACCTATGGGTTGGACGGCTCCGAGTTCCGAGCTCCTTTTCCGGCTTCGGCTCCGGTTGCGTGCTCCGGTGCCTTGGTGTCATCAGTAGGTACGCTCTTTTTTGAAAAGATTTAGAGCTAAAGATTTAGCTCAATTATGTATAAGTGAGTCGATGAGTTGCCCTACCTATCCCAGGCCATTCCCACCTCCCCTTCCCCTATGCCTGAACGTCTGCGAAAATCAAATCGTCCTGTGTCTGAGGAGGGTGACAGCCGACAGGCGAGAGCCAGCAGTGAGTCAGTTCATCGAAAACTTGATCAATCGGGCTGGAAGAAATCGGTAAATAATGTCTATTCAACCGGTCCCTTACCCATCAACTAGTCGCCTCTCGCCCCAACTTTTTTCCGGAGACTCAAAGGCGGAGGGGCACGGCATGACCGCGTCATTGGCGTAATTCCTCTTTATACTCGTATGACACATCCATCATCCGATAACAGCTCTGCTAATATTCTGACGCTAACGGTTCTTCCTCCCGGTCGTCGGTTTCGCGAGTCGCTCTCGTGAGAGACACCCTTACGACGCGGAACGCTTCCCATCGGCACCGACGAAGACCGAATTAGCGTCCGTCGGCGTTGCTAGGAGACGGCGTCGAAGGCGACGACGCAGCGGCCATACTGGCTGCGGCAGACCGACGCTTTTTGCACGGATTTTAGGAAGGTGAGAGCAGAGTGGGGGGGGGGGGGGGCAGACAGCCGCCTGGGGCAGACCGGACAGGCAACTGATGAGCTCCAAGGCCTGTACTAGGCTGGTCGTTCAGGTAGGTATGTGTAAATGCCACTGATAGGGAAAGAGGGAGAGCAAGACGAGGAGAGGAAGACGGAAGAGAGGAGAGAGAGAGAGAGAGAGAGAGAGAGAGAGAGAGAGAGAGAGAGAGAGAGAGAGAGAGAGAGAGAGAGAGAGAGAGAGAGAGGAAAAGAGGAGAAAGAGGTAGGTAACTGAGAAAGAGGTAGGTAACTGAGAAAGAGGTAGGTAACTGAGAAAGAGGTAGGTAACTGGGAAAGAGGTAGGTAACTGAGAAAGAGGTAGGTAACTGAGAAAGAGGTAGGTAACTGAGAAAGAGGTTGGTAACTGGGAAAGAGGTAGGTAACTGAGAAAGAGGTTGGTAACTGAGAAAGAGATGGGTAACTGAGAAAGAGGTAGGTAACTGGGAAAGAGGTAGGTAACTGGGAAAGAGGTAGGTAACTGAGAAAGAGGTTGGTAACTGAGAAAGAGATGGGTAACGGAGGAGAGTGATTCCACTTCTGTGTGTAAACGGACACGGATGCTGGAGAAAGCAGAGCGGTAAAGAAGAAATGTATGATGGTGACCGGAGTGCAAAATGGAAGCGGTGCCATGTTCACCAACAGCAGGAAAAAAAACATCGGGTGAGTATTGATCGGTATTTACGTACCCATGCGGTGGTACGTACAAACAAGCCCCACGTAATAAGCCAAAGTAAATATTTTTGTAAAGCAGTATCGATCCCCACAACTGCTACTTATTCAGCGTCAGGTTTCCACAGAAAGTTGGTGTGTTATCGACGATCATATATTTGAGGCGTTGGAAAGCGCTAAAAGCGTGGAAGCCTATCACTCACGCCCTGTCCCGGCAGTCGGTTCGCTGAGTTAAGTGTACCGGTCGACGTTCTACACACCCGCAGTCATAAGATATCACATTACAACAAACACAGCTCATTCAACAAGTGCGCATTGAGTAACTGAACATTACAAACTAGCCCTTCCCAGTTCCCACATGGCACAGTTCCTGAACGAAACCAGCTCACTTCAGACCACCTGGCGCGCCGAGCAGAAACCACAAGTTCCTAGCCTCCACCGCTTGGCGGCGCACCAGTCGCTTTTTGTCGTCGACGCAGTTAGCCAGGCCGGCGAGCACCTGGGGCCGCAGCGGTAGCAGCAGGTGCGCCTTCAGGCTGGTCAGCTGGCCCAGGCAGCGGAGCGCCTCACAGCGCGTTTCCAGCTGGGGCGCCTCGCAGCCGGCCGTCAGCAGCCGCGGCGCCAGGGTCTCCACGAATGGCTCCAGGGCGGCCGGCGAGTCGGCGGCGGCTCGGCCCAGCACCTGCAGCACGGCAGCGCTCAGCGCCGCGTCATCGGCCAGCTCGGCCAGCGCGGCCACCAGCGGCGGCAGCAGCCTCTCCAGCTGAGCGGACACCACGCTGGGAGGCAGCGCCGCCAGCTGGCCGCCCAGCGCGCGCAGGTGGCGCCGCCGCACGGCCGCCGGCGGCTCCTCACTGCTGAACACAGTCGCCAGCTGGTCACAGGTGACCGTGAACAGCCACTGGCGGTGCAGCAGCCGCACCGTGCAGTGGTTCTCCGTCCGCAGCAGAGCGTCCTCTGCCAGCAGGTCGTCAAAGGCAGCGCCAGCCGCCTCACCGGCAGTGGTATCAGACAGCCACTCAACTAGGCGCCGCACCATGTATGCCGCCTGACTGTGACCGCGCAGCACTAGACCTTTGGTCAGCGCTCCCCACAGCGCTACCACAGCCGCAACCTCAGCCACGTCCACACCAGCGCCTCCCTCCTCTCTGGAGTCCATCGTGAACTCGAGCTGCTTGATGAGCCGCTTCAGCAGATGGTCCGTCTCCGCCTCTGGCTGCTTGTTAAACACCACCGCCAGCATCTTACCGGCCCGCTCTGCAGTCAGCGGGTGTCGCTTCTTCAGCGCCAGTTTTGTAAGCATCACGGAGACGATATCCTGCTGCGGCACGGCCACGCTGGGCTGGGCGGCGGCCAGCGCTGCGGCCAACAGAGCGGTCAGCTGTGTGTGCTGCCACGGCGCCGAGTGAGACAGCGGTAGCACGCCGTGCCAACGCTCCGCCAGCGCGCCCAACATGTGGTCACCGTCTCCGTTGAGGAACAGACTGACAGCGGCGTGTAGGAGCTCCTCCTGCCGGCGCGCGTCCAGCTGACGCACCAGAGCGGCCAGAAGCGCCCCGCCGGCCGCCACTGGCGCAGCCTGGTGAAGCGGAGCTGAGCTGGGGCAGTCCGGCGCCGGTCGCATCGGGTCGAACGCCACCTCTCGCGCCGCAGCGCAGAACAGCTCCAGGACCTTCTCAGGAAGTTTCAGCTCTGAGAGCAGATACTCGGCCACGGCGGGGATAGTCGCTGTCCGCTGCACAATTTCGGTGATGGTGACGAGTAGCCGCTCGGTAGCAGTGGCATCCTCTCGCCCGACGCGCACCAGACGGACAAGTAGCAGCGGCAGCGCGGCGCGGGCAGTCTCCAGACCGGTGACTGCGGCCGCCACCGCCGCCAGCCGGCGCTCTGTCAGCTCGGGCGGTCCGTCCGAGCCGCCGGTCAGTTCGGTCAGTAGCGGCTGGATCAGGCCGGCTATCAGGGCGGTCGGGTGCCGGTCGGCGGCGGCAGACACACAGCTGAGCGCGGCCGTGCGGACTGCAGCGTCCTCAGTTGTAGCCAAGGAGAGCAGATGGCCAGCCAGAGGAGCTGCCTCCGAGTCCGCCACCAGCCACGGACAGGAGCTGAGCACGCCCAGCGCCGCCGTCTGCAGCGGCTGGTCCTGCCCGCCGAGCTCCCCCAGCAGCGTGGCTGCAAGCCGAGGGCGCAGCGCCTCCACAGCCGCCGACTCTGCGCCGCCGCCGTCCGCCAGCACACGTCCCAGAGCGGCGACCGTCTCGCGCCGTTCAGCAGCCATGTCCCCGCCGGTCTCCAGTTGGCCCAGCAGCGTCGGCACCGCCTCGCCCAGCACCAGCTCCCGGTCACCAGCGCAGAGCGCCACCAGCAGCGGCGCCACGCCGGCCAGGAGGCGGTCGCCGCCGCGCTGTGCCGCGTGGTGCAGGCACTCAGCCAGCAGTGGCCGCGTCCACTGGTCGGCCTGGACGGGTACCGCCGCCGACACGGCCGTCGCCAGCCGCAGAGCGCTCTCATGTACCTCCGCGTGACGCGGGGTCAGACATTCCCGCGCCAGCGCCAGCCGCAGCGGTGCCAGGTGCGGCGTCAGCTGAGCGCCCGTGTAGACGCCACAGCAGCGCTGCAACAGCGCCAGCGCGTCCAACTTGGCCTGCGTCAGGTCCGAGTTCAGCTTCTCCAGCGCCAGGGGCGGGCAGAACTCTGCGAACTGCCCGGTCCCGGCCATACAGTCGTGCAGAGCGTCCGCCAGCATCTGCCGCGTCACACCGTGAGCGCTGTCCGGCGGAGGGGTGAACTCGACCGGGAAGTAGCAGGCCAGCAGCTCGAACAGATCCTCAGCGAGCGGCGCCAGCGGCACGGCCAACACCAGCAGTCGCACCGTGGCGAACACGGTCAGCAGGTTCCGCGGGTCCTTCTCCCCCTCCATCGACTGGATACAGCCGAGAACAAAGTCCGAGCCCAGCTCGCGCACATCTTCCGCCCGCGCCTCCAGCACGTGCCGCAGCACGGCGAACACGTTACGTCGCTCAGCGAGCACGAGACTCTGCGCGTGCACCTCCTTGTACAGGCTCTGCACCAGCCGGCGCAGTGGCTCACCCGCCAGGTGCTTCATACGCACCACCACATTGACGCCAGCCAGCGCCGCCGGCACTACGGAGAAGTGGTCGCGCACACGGTCACAGAAGAACGTGGCGATGAAAGCGCACTCCTGCTCGTTTAGCAGGTCAGCCGGCAAAAGGCGCAGCACGTCAGTCAGGTGCTGCACGCCGCGCGCTCGGCTCGGCGCCTCCGGACTGACCAGCAGTGACTCGAGGCACTCCACCACCCCCAGCACTGTGTGTTGGCCAGCGGTGATGGCACGGGCTGCCGCTGCCGGACCTCCGTCTGATTCCAGGAGAGCCAGCAGGACTGATTTGGCGGACTTGGCAGAGTCTGAGGCTTCCTCTCCAGTCCCTAAGCCTGCAGCTGGCGCTGGGTCTCCCATATCCATGTGAATCAGATGCTAACAGCCTGGGAAACATAGAAGGAGAAGTTACTGTACCACGGGAAGGAAACAGTATCTCATGCTGAAATGACACAGAATCAGATACAGATGCTGTGCAGCATCTGTATCTTTTCTTTAAAACAGTGCTGTGTGGTCACATTTGACAACACATATTGACAACAGGACAATGAGAAACAAGAACAATAACATCCACAGCTTCGTTCTGGTATGCCCATAAATCTGAAATGGATCTTTTTTGTGCCAGGCCAAGTGAACAGGGACCCTTCAAGCAATATGGAAGACAAAGTATTCTTGTACAAATTGACAAGCCTCTCTGATAGCAATAATTTTGCTTAATCATGATGCCAAGAGGCACAAGTCCTATGTTCAGTTACACTTACAGATTCATTGCAAGTTATATCCTTTCAATATGAATGCAGGTTGCAGCATAAATGTACCAGCAATTATGAGCTGCTGCCACAAAGTCATGTGGCTTATATTATTATTGTATTCAGAGATCTCATTTAGGTGCAAATGCCATTGCCTGCTCTTTTTCAATCCAATAAAAATGTAGAATGTCAGCCATCCATCCAAAGATATGGCATAATGAAGTTAATTGGCTTGCATTTGAGGTCCTTGCTTGATACAATATACATTTACATGCAGACTGTAATGCAGACCAGGTGAGTAACAACTAACAAGGCAGACTGCATAAAGTTAAAAAAGAGATGGATGATAACCATCACAATATAGAAGGACTAAGAAAATGAAATTAAGGAATACTGTAGAAAAATCACACCCCTCCTCATCCAGTTTGACGTCCTTTAAACTGTGATAAGAATGAGTAAATAATTAGGCAAATGCTTTCTTCTTTCACTTTGGATTTTGCTTATGTCTTATGGTAGAGGGGTAGAGTTACCTCCCAATACAGATGACACTATTTCAAGTGCAGGGAAAACATATTGGTACTCTAGGGGAAAAATTTGTCTACTTTTAAATTTCAATTAGACAATACTGACATGATTTCTCATGTCAGTATTGTCTGTATCAAAACTGTACCTACCTTGACCTACCATCATGATCAGTGTTCTAGACTTGGATATTGCATGGATTAGGTATTCCTGGATGGGACACTCCGCCGATTTTCCGACCACCCGGCGGCGGCGGCGGATTTCCCGACGGCGAGGGCGCTGGCGCCATTTTAGCATTGCGGGCTATGGGCGGAGCGTGTCTTTTGGTATACTTTTGTCGTTTATTGCTTACCTATAACCGATGTTGATAAAAAAAAATTGTGAACCTGGTAGAACAGGAATTGAGGAATGTCATGGAAATATTCTTTTCCTAGTTTTGATTTAAGAAGTTGTTTAAATTCTGCTGACAAGTGAGGGTTCGTGATTACAGCCGAAGAGCCAATGTTAGAATAAAGTTAAATTGTATGCGATAACATGAAAATAAGTTGATATTTGTATTAAATCATCAATAGGAACTTGTTTGACTGCCGAGGAACGATGATATTTGATGATAAATTGCATCGGCAAGTCAAGAATACCGGCTCAGTTTATGGGCATCAGGTAATGATTCCGTATGTGATAGTGACTAAATGGAGCCATAATAATGATAAGAAAGGACTAAAAATTATGTTTAAAGTGTCTGAAATTGTGTCTTATGAGCTTAAGTTCGCTAATTTCGCCCTCCATTACCGCGTTTTTAGCACGCAAGCCGGTGCGGCGGCCGCCGGCGCACTCGCCGCCGATGTTTCGGAGCTCCGCCACCAGGGCGGCCGCTTGGTCGCCGGCGCTAGTGTTGGGGAATAGGGAGTGTCCTATCCAGGAATACTTCATCCATGGATATTGGTTAGGTGTGACATGAAGAAAAGAAGTCCTAGAACGACAAAATTGAAAGAAAGTATATCTAAATTATTTTCGAAATTCTGATGGCTATGCATATTTTTACCGAAGACTGAAGTTTTAACCAAAAAAGATTATGCATGAGAAATAATCTTAATCTAGAGCAGAATCATTGCCAAAATGTTCAAATACATGGTAGGTACATTTCCAAAGATGAAATAATTTGCCGCATTTTCTAACATTCTGGATGAAAACATTTTCCCATTAGATGATTAGGTACAGTGTCCCAAAATTGCATTTTGGCTTGGGTGTCAGAGGGGAAATTGCTTTCCAAAAATGGGGATAAGAGTGGAAAATTGCTGGCCAAGATGAGGCCCAAAAAGAGTGGGAAAAAATCAATAGCATTAATTTTTATTCATGCGTGATAAAATATGAGATGTACAACGATTATCCACGCTAATGCTTTTCTTTCGTAATATTGGGAGTGGAAAATTGCTCTTAAAAATTGGAGGTGAGCGCGAAATGATTCTCATTTTGATGTCGTTTCCCACCCAAAACAGCAAATTTTGGAACACTGATTAGGTATGTGTGATTCACACATCATTGTAGTGTGTAGGTAATTCACAGTGTGAATTAGTTACCGGTTCTGAAAGTTCTGAACCGAAAGTTCACCGAAAGTTCTGAAAGGAAATCAAAATGGGATGGGACACTGCCTAGTCTAGTCTACCGTACCATATCAAGTAGGTACTTACCACTATACAAAGGAGAAAATCCTAGAAAAATCTGGGACAGCCTTGCTGTTAACCTGAAACGGAATACCTTAGTCCGGACGGCGATCTAGCCCAAGCAAACCTCACTATCACAGGTTATTTTGTTGTTCACTCAATATACCCTGATTTTGTTGCAGAAACGACAAAAAACGCGAAACATCATAACACATTACACGGATTACTTTGCGATATAGTTCAGTGCTATGCGCATAATCCAGCAAAATTCCATAAAACATTGCGTCGTAGCTTGTAACAAGTGCGCAATATAAAATGAGGATCAACTTTCTCCTAAATAAAAAATAAAGAAATTAAAACAACAGAAAGTTGTAAAAATGGCAAGTAGAAACATATAAAAATAAACTTAATGATTTGAAACTAAAATGAAAAGAAACAAAAACAAAAAAAGAAAAATTAGGCATCAATGATGCTTGAATCGATGTTACACAATCGAAGGGAATTTATCAACTTCTCATTTTCCCTCCACACGTGTAGATTACTAAGATTTGGCAGCACTAGTACGATACATTTATTGCTATATTGTTACGTTTGTCTGTTTACGTTGCCGGCATTGTGAATGGTGGTACTGGTGTCTGTTTGGTAGGGTAGTTTAGTAGCGTTTTCGTTGTGATTTTAGCTGAAACGGTTGTCTTGCTTTGAAAATTTGCGAGAAGTTATTCACAGATAATAAACTTCGATACTTAATACAGTTTTGCATCCCGAAGGATATAAGACCACAAAACGCAAAAATGGATTTTCTGGGACTGGGTTTTGGTGATGTGAAGAGGATGAATAAGCGTCAGGTGAGACACATTTAATGTTTATTATTGACAATCAATTGTGTCAATTAATTAAATTCATAATCTCATAACTCTGTTCTGTTGACTGCTGCCTTGGCCTTTTTCATTTTTTTTGTGTGTTCACATCCATATGGAATATATGAATAAGTACAGCCCTCTGCAAACTGCGTGGTAGGTATTCTTTTTCTGACAAAACCGAGAATAACATGAATATAATGCTATCATGATCAGTCACTCGAAAATCGTAACAGCAAGATGTGCAAGACACCACACCTTAGATTGGCATTATCATCATATTCATTTTCCATCCAGTTTGGCAACAAAACCCAAAAGTTTATATTTGCCCCCAAAACAAAATTTTGCTTTTTGTTGCCACACAAGCCGTATACTTTGTTTAGTGATATAGACCCAAGCGAAGGAGTGGAGCAGGGCGCATCTATTTGAAGTGAGTTCCGACCGACTGTTGACATAGCCTTTGAGTAATTTCCGGTTTTGTTGAAACATTCCTACCAAGCAGTCTGCTGAGGGCTGTACCTACCTAGCTCTCAAAGTTATCACAGTTCAGTGATTTTGCTCTCTTTTGATATATTTTTAGGTCAAAAGCTTCAGAATATTGTCTCCAATTTCTCGCCTGGCTTTGTTTTCTTATTAACAGTGCTGCTAGGTTGTGGCTTGTGGACAGTAATTATGAGAATGGTTCTCTGTTTGGTGTCACCCTTTCACATTTTTGTAGTAAAATTGAATTACCACAAACTGTACCGGCAAGAGCAATGCATAGTTTTAGTAGTGTCTCTATTTTCCAATACTAGCAATGATCAGATTTTGACCATATGCATTGAGTTATTTACTTTTGCACCTATGGTTTGAAGTAATGCTCATGTGTTAAGCTGTGTGTTTTGTTGTTCTATGTTCACAGCTCTACTACCAGGTTCTGAACTTTGGTATGATAGTCAGTTCCGCACTGATGATCTGGAAGGGCTTGATGGTTGTCACTGGCAGTGAGAGCCCCATTGTGGTTGTGCTAAGGTGAGTGAAGTTAAGCAGTAGTGCTCAATGCTCATGCTCATGCAATGCTTGGATAGTTGAGTGTATGGTGTGCCTGTTAGGTTTGTCTCATTCCTCTGGGATCATATGATCTCTGATTTTTATGGATTTCCCTTGTTTTTACTTTGACACCTTACATCCTGATTATGCATTCTGTCCTGTGCAGATTGGCACACATCAATTAAAGTAAGATCATTTTGACCAACTCATCAGATGACTTTCTGACTAAATGTTTTGTTTTAGAGTAAGGTAATATGTTTTTCACTCAATCACAGAGTATTTATGTAAACTATAAGTCTGGAACCACATTTTGTCTGGATGCTGATCTGGTGACCTGTCTACTGCTTATGTGTGATTGCAGTGGAAGCATGGAGCCTGCCTTTTACCGCGGAGACCTGCTGTTCCTCACCAACTACCAGGAGGAGCCGATCCGCGCCGGAGAGATCGTCGTCTTCAAGGTGGAGGGCCGCGACATTCCCATTGTCCATAGAGTCCTCAAATTACATGAAAGGTGAGCTAGTATAGCGGTGAGTGGTATGTCCCGTAGCTCAGTTAGTAGAGCGCTGGGCTCCCGATAGTGAGAGCCTGGGCTCGAGTCGCTCCGGCGCTCGACTTATGAAACCTCTGACGGGGATGGTGTGCGAGAGTGGGAGCGGCCGCAGCCAGTTGAAATCTGCCGATTGAGACGGGCGGTGTACGACTTTGATGGATACACCAAACCTGGCCTCACAAGAATATATCCCAATACTCGGACTTGCCTGATGGGACTCACAACCCACACTATGATTTATATTGCAGTGGCGATAAGCAAAGTTTCAGTATGTCTCAGGCTGTTGATCTTTTAACTACCTGACAAGTTCGGCAGCTGACGGCCCGGAGAACCGTTCAGCTTACGGGCCGAAGAACCTTGTCACTGTCACCACTCACAGAACCACTCAATTGACGCCCCCCCCCCCCCTCCCGTGTCTGCCTGTAGAGAGAACGGCACTGTCAAATTCCTCACTAAGGGCGACAACAACAGTGTGGACGACCGCGGCCTCTACGCGCCCGGTCAGCTGTGGCTCACCAAACGGGACGTGGTGGGCCGAGCGCGCGGCTTCGTCCCCTACATCGGCGTCGTCACCATCCTCATGAACGACTATCCAAAGCTAAAGGTGAGCGATGTTGAGGATGAGCTGAGGGATGGAGAATTGGGGTTGGAAATATAGAGGGGCAGGGAGGTTGCAGATTTAGGTACTTTGAATCGAGGCGGTCTTTTATATGCGGTATGCCCTGCTTGGTACCGCGATCGCGGTGCTTATTTTTCGTAGATGGCGCCACAAGTAAATGTCTGGCACCCGGTACGCTGTTCAGCATATCTTGACCGCGAGTGTAAAAAGGATCGGCTCCAGTGACTCTTCCACAATGCTAGCCCTCTTGTACCGTTTTCAAAGCTCTGTTCGGTTCAGTGTCTGTGAGGACAGAAGAGAGTTGTTTCGCACTTTCCGCAAATCGTCTCTGAATTCTCCCGGCACACCCCGAATCAGATTGGGTATTTCTGAAGAAAATCAGATCGTCCCAATTTTTGTTTCCCCGGTAGGAAAGAACAAAGTCGCCTCACATCGTTAGCAGAGGAGTGATAAAATTAAAGAAAGTCGACCAAACTTTGCTAGGGGATTGTTTTGTGCTGCAACACCTGCGACGCGCTCGATGTTTTGTATGCTAATAGACATACATAATTGTTTTTGCGACAGAACACTAAACTCCTTACCCTCTGAACCCTCCGTCGCCACCCGCTCGTCTTAGAGGTGTCCCCTCCCGGACCTCGCCCTGCTGACCTTTCCCCTTTGTCCGTTTCAGTACGCCGTGCTCGCCTGTCTCGGTCTATTTGTGCTCATCCATCGAGAGTGAGCGTCATCCGCCGGACGGGAGGTGACGTCACACTGCCCGGTTATGACGTCACGGTGACGTCAGCCGAGGCGGCGCGGTGCTGGGGTTGGGTGGGGACTGCGGTGGAAAGCGATCCCAGAACAGTTCTTTGATGGTGGTACCAGTGCGCGCTCGCCACGTACATTTTTCGAGAGAGACGACTATTCTCTCCGGTTGTGCATTTAGAATGTTGCGGGCTCTTAGACTCTGGTGCGCGGTTTTGCGGGGTGCACGCGTCTCTTTGGCCTGTATTTGTGTTAACCCAGAAAGACACAAGATGTGTGGACTTGATCCTGTATTTCCGTCTGTCGCTGAGCCGATAGGTCGTTGATAGCCCGTTGAAGCTGTACCTTTGGAAGTCACAGCGCCGACGGCGGTTTTCTTCGCGACCTCAGCGGACTGCGGACCCGACTGGCCGGAGACAACACCTGCGCAACTTCCCGACACAGGTGCAGCGTGACACGCGACACGCGCAGTAGCGCCTTACAACACCAACCCATTTGTACAAACCGATCGACATGCCTGCGTTATAGCTGCCGGCGTACATAACAAACACAGCGCTGCATTTGCGCGATTCTAAGCTAATGTGGCACTAGGCTCGAGCGATAGACAATTCGCAAACAATACCCTGCGGCAGAAAGACGAGCTAGAATCGAGAGGCAGACGTGGCACAGTTTCCCAGTTGCTTGACAGCTGGAATTGATGCGTTAGACTAAACTCACGACGAACGGCCGGCACTAGGAGGCAATGGCGAGCTAACGACGAGCGACACACGCAGACTGTATGTACAAATGGAGTAGAAAAATAATTATACGAAGCGATAGCGATCGTGACAGGCGTGGCCGTAACAGCTCAGAACTTTAAAGGAACGACGCTTGTGGCAGACGCGATCGTTACAGTGATATTCTAAAGATAGCGACATGCAGTATGGGGCAAGGATACGCGTGCGGGTAACAGTTGGAATTTTACGATAAAGATACGGTATCAGGAAATGCCAGACGCCAGCTGCGTTCATCCCCAGGAACACGACGCGACAACCAGACAACACGCATACAATCTTAGAAAGCGATAACCGCAAAAGGCTCCCGCGGTATATCATCAGACTAGACGCAAAGTTAACCTGCATAATACACCCTTCAACGCTCGTAATATATCAAAATTGACTTCCCTGCGGCTTATCCCAGCCTCAGGGCGGACAACAGGCACCCGGCGGTGCGTAGCCGCAAGCCACCCCTCTGCAGGCCGGGTGAACAATCCTCTCTGTTCCGCCGCCGAGACTGGACCGCCGAACGCGCCGCACTATCACAGCGAGCCATGGGCTCCGGAAGCCGGCGTCGTATCTCTGCACGGAGAGCCACCCGTAGACCGTCCGCTACTCTCAGGCCCGTACAGCAGGCAGTCTGCGGATCTAGAGCCACAGACCCGCACCACGGAGCCGTCGACGCTGCCCACGGACGGAGACCGCGGCTCAGGCGGGGACGCTTGTGCACTGGGCGGTCCAGCCTCAAATGGTTAGATGCATCCGCTCCGAATCGTTACCCCAGCTGGCGGCAGACAGTGTACGATTCGTTACACCATACGGCTGCGACATAGTAACATAGTGGCGGCTGCGGGTTAACGGGCGTAATTGTCAGTAGCGAGAAGACAATTAGAGCAATATTCTTTGGATGTTGTGGTTATTGGTTAGTGACTGCGGATGGGGATGACGAAGATTATTGAGCATTGAGCAAGTGAACGTAAAAGCAATTGAATAAAAGCAGTTGAACAAAGAGAAGTGACAACAAATTATATGGGATAGGCACAGCACTGCATGAAAAGCAGGGCCTGAGCACTTACATAACCACACCATTTATAGATAGTTTTACGGCCGTAACGAACACTTTGAAACGCGAGTCTCAAAATATCGCAAGACAGGGGGTCAGGGGTTCACTGATGAGGTCCGGGTGCGATGCAGTTGCGGCCCCCGGGGACTGGTTATGTTCTCTGAACAGGGTCGGTGTGGTCCGGTTATCGGTAGCCGTTCGGTAAACATAGACCTCGGGCCAGCGGAGCCGGCCGTGGAGCGCGGCTGGTTATACTCCGGTCGGACAGAGAATCGGAAATAGCCACCGTGGTCGGACAAGGCTAGGGAGAGTGGGAGGACAGAGAGGGGGCGTGGCAAAGGAGGTTGGCATGTAACGACAGTTGACGGCCTAAATGTTTCCCCGCATACTACACTAACTGTGCGAACCTACAGCAACTAGTCTCAAGCCACTGGACCGGGGACAAGGCATCGCAACGTCTAAAAGCCACGCTGTCATTTACGAATATCATCATGACTTGCCAAAACCGCCCGAGTTTCTCTGGTGGAGTCTCATCTCTATTCTCCAAGCAGATCCGTTGGATATCCACTCTCTCCTAGTAGACACACATGGGGTGATGAGCTGTATCTCAGTCTCACCACCACCTACGGGGCGGAGTCGCTATCACGGGTCGCCGCGTACCCCGTCCATCAGCCTGGGAATACCGGACTGCCGCGGTTACCGGCAGTCGACCTTGGCTCGCCACCGTCCCCCTCCCAGTCCGCACGGCGACGGCACTTTCCTCGTGTGAGCGTGGCGACACGCGTCCCGCGCCTGTCCCTGATCACTGCCCCACGGCCCGCTACCGACACCGAGTAAACGAAAAACGAAACAAAACGAAACCTATACAAATGTTTATTTGAAAATAACCAAACGTATAAACAGAAATAAACGAGGTTCTTAATTCCAAATAAGATTAACTGGTAGGCTCCACCACCCTGCTAAGATCCCCTTACCACCCATATTCGTCTCCGAAAGACAATGCTGTCAGCTACCAATATTGGAGCTACCTATAACTGATATACAATGTACTCCATCCCATTCGTAGCATACCCACATATACAACTTCATGACCCCGGTTCCAGTACAGCACATACGATACGGGATACTCCATTCAGCAGAGTGACACGCAGCACCTGCCGACCGGCGCACACTGAGCGACCCTGCCCAGTGACCTGCTGGCTGCCGAAGCCTCTACCGCAGACGGCCATAGCCTCTACCGCAGACGGTTCCGTCCACGATCCCCCCTCTCCCGCCCCACCCGCGGCCGGCCGTCGGCTCTGGCTCCCCAGCCGTCCGGCCGCCGATACACTATGGAAGACGTGATAATTCTGTTGTTGGCTGCTGCCCGGTCTCCGGAGAGACGCGGCCGCTAGCCGCACACTATCTACACACACAGGGCGGCAGCCGCCGGCACACTGTGCCACCGCCAGGCACTCACAGCGCGGCCGGCGCCGCACAAAGTCACACACCCGCTCACAATAAGGCACCGATACACAGCACATGGCGCAATTACAGCGGCCGCTACACATAGCACAGGTTACAGAGTATAAACTAGAATAGAGGTTACGCTACAGAGATTACAGGGTAAAGGTAGAGCCTACGAGATTAATAGGTTATGTTTAACCATCAAGAGAGCCCGCGCCCCGCGTTGACATTTATACTGCTAGCACAGGTTGAAATACCCACATGCATATCTGTTCATTGAAATGAGTTTCCACACGGACAGTCCTACCCTTTCTATTGCTGATCTCACAGTTCCGGTGTGAAGCCGCTACTTTGAGCTGGTATTTGAAGGCACGCTGTATTACCGAGAAGTGCCGGAAGGTCAAAGGTCGCGCGCCCCAGATACGGCTGTGGGTTCAGACGGGATCCCCTATCGCCCTATCGCCGAGTGGACAAATTCCTGACCCGCTTCCCGTCTCAGAGAGGGGCCCCCTGACGGGCCGCCGTCCGCAGGGGCGGACCTTGTCGGTCGCGCCGGTTACCTGCAAATGAGAGAGTCGCAGCCACTGTCAACCAACACAGTAAACATAACGTGAGAAACGAAACTGAACGTAACGAAACGTGCCAGCGAATGTAGATAAGCCCGACACCACAGACACAGCGGAGGCAGGGCGACACAACTAGTGCAACTGAAATGATAACAATATTGAACCAAATGATAGCACATCAACACCAAACGTTGGCATCGCAAGGCGAGAACAGTAACAAAACAAAATAGACAAATGAAATTGCGTGCTGCCAATATCCGCGAGCTAACGAGCTGCGTCGGACAGGCTGACCCGTTCACCACCAGCGTGGTGCCGAGGGGACAAACTCACAGGTTGTTGTACCGTCCAGTCATGGCCTGCCGACGCCGGTAGATCTTGAGACCGACGAACACGCCGGCGAAGATCACCATACAGAACACCATGCCGCCTGCGATACGGCGAGAGAGAGAGGTCGGGTTAACACACAAAGACGCGGCAGGCGGGAGATGGAAGCAGTTCACGGCGTGCTTACAGCAAAGGGCATCGCCTACGGTTAGCACGATACCGGGCCACAAATGGGACAGACGGCCTCACGGACTGAGCGCAGGGTAAGGCATAGGTAACACTTATAACTCATAAGGCACACCACCCGCACATAACAAACAGAACAGATGATGATGATGATGATGATGAATTGGGGTTTTTGGGCGCCCGGACTAAGTGGTCATCGGCGCCCACAAACAGAACAGATAACAGCACAAAGCAGTACATGGCGCAAGCCGACACGGATCAAAACAAATCGTACACTGACAGCACGTGATGAGACACATATGGTGGGTAAACGGGGGGCAAGGAGATCGTAGGACGACCATGGGAGCGCAGGCCACAATACAGTGCGTAGATAGGTAGAGGAAAAAACGGTGGAGACAAACACCACGCACAACATACATCAGATGAAGAACGGGATAACGTCAAATCAAACCACAAACATTAGGGTGCAAGTGCCACACACGGTATCGCCACTGCCATAGCAGCTCCGAATTTCGCGACAAACAGCTCCGACAAATAGCAGTTTCTGGCGATCTTTGTGCGTCAATTCGCAGCCCGTGGCGTGATTCATCATATCCCGGGTACCGAATCAATGTACCGACAATCGGAGACCCCACGGCGGCAGCTCACCGCGACACGACGGGGCCCAAGAAGTATATATTAAATTGGGCGTCATAGCGGAAAATTCATACACAAAAACGGGGGTCAGCGTCGAAAACCACTGATCAGATAAAGCCCAATAAGTAAAAAAGGACAGTATAAGTTTATATATGTATGTACAAATCTGTGTAGTAGGATGTTATGCAAGCATACGCGCAGACACTGTCAGTAAAACGGAGCGGGAAACTGCTCCTAAAATTGGAGGTAATAATGAGCAAACATTTACGTTTCGATGTCGTTTCTAGCAAAGATCGCCACATTTTGGGACGGCGCGGCTGTCCCACTCACCGACAAAACTGCCGAAGCTGAAGCCACCGGTGCGAGGCGCAGGAGTCGGGCCCGGCGTCGGCTGCGGAGCCATCGTGGTCGGCACTGGCGAGGCAGGGACGCCGTCAGCACGTGCGGGGACCAGGGGAGACAATTTTAATTCCGAGGTACCTATTGTTACAGTACAAGATGCCGTGAACCAATGTTTGCCAAGTTACCTACCTAAACTTAAAAACAAAATCTCAAAACCTCAATTTAGTTTGCATGTATAAGACTACCGGAATCCTGTCCGATTAGAGCAGAAACTGATTTAACAAACACACAATAAATATGTGAAGATATTTACAATCATGCTTATGTTTCACAGGTAGGAGCACGATGGCTTTGATCGATGATGAATTGAATAGCCGCCAGGCTGGCCTGGGGGTACACTCAGTCAATTTGCTCGACTCTGCCTACACGCAGTATACCCAGTCCCCACCTTCTGTGGTGGTGGGCAGCTCGGTAGGCGCCTCAGTGGTGGGCGGCGGCTCGGTAGTGGTGGGCGGCTCAGTTGGAGGCACGGTAGTGGTGGGCGGCTCAGTAGGAGGCTCGGTAGTGGTGGGCGGCTCAGTAGGAGGCTCGGTGGTGGGCGGCTCAGTGGTGGGCGGCTCAGTGGTGGGCGGCTCAGTGGTCGTAGGCGGCTCAGTGGTGGTGGGGAACACGGTGGTCGTCGGATCATCCGGGCCAGCTTCTGCAGAAAAAGGAGACCCAGTCAACTCTGCCGCCTGCGGCACCCTCTCTTGGTGGCGGCGTACCATCGACACAACACCGGCCGTCGAGCACACAGACTGGCCCGTCTGGGCTCGGTTCCCCTAGAGCACACACGGCCCTGCCGGCCGGGTCGGCTCACCGGTACAGTCGGTGGCATTGCCCGGGTGGCAGCCCTCTGCGGCGCCTGCGGTCGCGTTGGCACACAGCGCGCTGCCGTCCAGCTCGCAGACGAACCAGCTGCAGTCGGGGGCCAGCGCCAGGCAGGCCGTGCAGTTGAGCGCCGGTTCGACGTCGCACGGGCCCGGCTCTGCAGTTCACCACCCCCGGAGAAAGGTGACCGTCACCAAGCGCTCTCCGACCCGTTGGTAACAGAACCCCACCCTCCCCTCCCGGCTCCCATACCAGCCTTTGCGCCTCCCGATACAGCACCAAACTGTGAACAACCTTTCTGTGACCCATCTCTGGACAATAGGCACTATAAATAACTACATATTAGGCTACCACAATGTTAAGCAGTAAGCACAACCACCATTCATTACACTTTATCTCTGAAGTGGAAGGCTGCTCTCAGATTTAGATGTCATCAAGTCCTCAGCAAGCAATATTAGATTAGGTAGGTACTTGTTCAGTGTTTAGGAAGCCTAAAAACAGTGAAGAAAAATATGTTGTGGTTTATTTTCCATATTCTAAGCTATTCGATCCAAATACAGTCCAAATATTCCACTAAGAACCCTGTTTCAAGGGCAATACTATGACACTGTGTCAAATAAAAGCCTTCCTTTGCCACCATTATTAAGCAAATTATTTGATAGGGTTCATGACTGTTCATGTTCATGACTGCATGTACATCAGCCATGTAACATCAATGTAACACAATATGTACCTAAATACTGTAGCGTGTGACATTTGCACAGCTTTTACATGAATATCCTGAAGAGAATTATGAAAGCCAGATGCCAGTAGAGCAGTCAGCGAAAAAGCAGAAAACCTCACATACCTCATGCCTGCAACCTTCACATGTTGATTGTAATGCACATATTGGCAGTTTACCATGTAATTCATACCTGCTTCAACAAAAAAAGAAGAAAGAAAAAAGGACAATGCACATAATGTACCTACCATTGGCCAAGATGTGTGGCACCAGAAGTGTGGCTAAAAATGCCACATACAATAGATGCTGCTTTGCCATTTTTAATTCAATTCTGAAAAACAGACAGGTCCAGGATGCACATTATCAGTATCCATTAAATACAGAAATAACAGAATCAGGCACCCTAACCATGCAGTATGCACCTTTGCACATGGTAAGCATATGGCTATCAATGGAAGAAAAGGTTATTAGGGCAATAAAAGTGTGTGACATGCATTCAGCAACACCATCATCACATTAGATATCTTTGCTGTAGACAAAAGCCCTGCATATGTGATAGTAACCATTCTAGCATAAGCTCATTACTGGAAGATACATAATTCTATAATTGTTTTAATTCAACAGCAGTTTGGCTCCAAGCTCTTCAGCCAGGCCAGGCTTCTGCCGGAGCTGCTACAACTTCAGATCATGCTCTGATAGCACGCCGGTGAAAACAGGGCGCCGGAGGGCATATTAGTCACGTGACATTTGGAGCTTCTCCCCCTCCGTACGGCCTTCTACATGCAAAACATCACGTGTGAATTTCACGAACCTTGATCAAATCGCCCCAGGTGCCGTTTTCACCATCGTCCCTCTGATAAACCCCATTTTCAGCCCCTAAATCTTTGAATCTGCTAGTTCTGGATCAGTATTGGTTAAATAGGTACCTACAGAGGGAGTGACTAAAATCATTTTCACACCGTTACTTCACAGAAAAGACAAGCACGCATTAACACAACATTAACATTATCATGGATCACACCTTAGCTGTAGCTTCAGCTTGCGACTCAACAATATAAAAAAGATGATTGGAAGACAGTAAACAAATAAGCTAACAAAGTGCAATTTGCCAGTATGTCATGGAACCTGGAAAATATCTTAATGACTACCAAAATATCCAAGTCTGTGAAAAATATTGATAACCAGTTTTGAGGATTTCCGTTAAGAAGAAAATTACCAAAGAACCGGGCTTTGAAAAAATACTTTAATACTTAAGCAATATCGCCAAGAGTCAAGGTACCTAGCTCCAAAAATATTTTTTACCGTGCCAGTGCCCCCTATATCTATCATCCACGCATACACCGAACCACAACGGAAAGAAACTGCGACGAATTCACGTCTATCAATTCAGCAGCAACGAATATCAGCCTCACAGCAGCATATTTCGGGGTTTTTCGATTTGGCTGAAAATCGGTATACAGGGCCTCCCCGATGTGCTGATTCCGAAAATGTACCTCTTTGGGGTGGTATTTTGCACCGTTAACGAGTTAACGGCCATTTAACATTTTAACGGAAAACGGCGGGGTCTTTCGATTTGGCTGAAAATGGGTATACAGGGCCTCCTCGATGCGCTGATTCCGAAAATGTACCTCTTTGGGGTGGTACTTTGCACCGTTAACGAGTTAACGGCCAGTTAACATATTAACGGGAAACAGCGGGGTCTTTCGATTTGGCTGTCGGTGTACAGGGCCTTCTCGATGCGCTGATTCCGAAAATGTACCTCTTTGGGGTGGTATTTTGGACCGTTAACGAGTTAACGACCAATTAGCATTTTAACAGGAAACGGCGGGGTCTTTCGATTTGGCTGAAAACCGGTATACAGGGCCCCCTCGATGCGCTGATTCCGAAAATGTACCTCTTTGGGGTGGTATTTTGCGCCGTTGACGAGTTACGACCAATTAACATTTTAACGGGAAACGAAGGGGTCTTTCGATTTGGCTGAAAACCGGTATACAGAGCCTCCTCGATGCGCTGATTTCGAATATGTGCCTCTTTGGGGTGGTATTTTGCACCGTTAACGAGTTAACGGCCAATAAACATATTAACGAGAAACAGCAGGGTCTTTCGATTTGGCTGAAAATCGGTGTACAGGGCCTTCTCGATGCGCTGATTCCGAAAATGTACCTCATTTGGGTGGTATTTTGCACCGTTAACGAGTTAACGACCATTTAACATTTTAACGGGAAACGGCGGGGTCTTTCGATTTGGCTGAAAATCGGTATACAGGGCCTTCTCGATGCGCTGATTCCGAAAATGTACCTCTATGGGGTGGTATTTTGGACCGTTGACGAGTTAACGACCAATTAACATTTTAAAGGGATACGGCGGGGTCTTTCGATTTGGCTGAAAATCGGTGTACAGGGCCTTCTCGATGCGCTGATTCCGAAAATGTACCTCTTTGGGGTGGTATTTTGCACCGTTAACGAGTTAACGACCAATTAATATTTTAACGGGAAACGGCGGGGTCTTTCGATTTGGCTGAAAACCGGTGTACAGGGCCTCCTCGATGCGCTGATTTCGAAAATGTGCCTCTTTGGGGTGGTATTTTGCACCGTTAATGTGTTAACGATCCATTAACATTTCAGCAGCATATATCGATTTCAGCAGCAAATTTTCGGGGTTTTTCGATTTGGCTGAAAATCGGTACACAGGGCCTCCTCGATGCGCTGATTCCGAAAATGTGCCTCTTGGGGGTGGTATTTTGCACCGTTAACGAGTTAACGGCCAATAAACATTTTAACGGGAAACGGCGGGGTCTTTCGATTTGGCTGAAAATCAGTATACTGGGCCTCCTCGATGCGCTGATAACGAAAATGTACCTCTTTAGGGTGGTATTTTGCACCGTTAACGAGTTAACGACCAAATAACATTTTAACGGGAAACGGCGGGGTCTTTCGATTTCGCTGAAAACCGGTGTACAGGGCCTCCTCGATGCGCTGATTCCGAAAATTTACCACTTTGGGGTGGTATTTTGCACCGTTAACGAGTTAACGGCCAGTTAACATTTTAACGGGAAACAGCAGGGTCTTTCGGATTTGGCTGAAAATCGGTGTACAGGGCCTTCTCGATACGCTGATTCCGAAAATGTACCTCTTTGGGGTGGTATTTTGCACCGTTAACGAGTTAACGACCAATTAATATTTTAACGGGAAACAGCGGGGTCTTTCGATTTGGCTGAAAATCGGTGTACGTTAGGTTCTTCTTGATGCGCTGATTCCGAAAATGTACCTCTTTGGGGTGGTATTTTGCACCGTTAATGAGTTAACGATCCATTAACATTTCAGCAGCATATATCGATTTCAGCAGCAAATTTTCGGGGTCTTTCGATTTGGCTGAAAATCGGTACACAGGGCCTCCTCGATGCGCTGATTCCGAAAATGTTCCTCTTAGGGGTGGTAGTTTGCACCGTTAACGAGTTAACGGCCAATAAACATTTTAACGGGAAACGGCGGGGTGTTTCGATTTGGCTGAAAATCAGTATACTGGGCCTCCTCGATGCGCTGATACTGATTTTGATTGTATACTGATTTTCAGCCAAATCGATAGACACCGCCGTTTCCCGTTAAAATGTTAATTGGTCGTTAACTCGTTAACGGTCCAAAATACCACCCCAAAGAGGTACATTTTCGGAATCAGCGCATCGAGGAGGCCCTGTATATCGATTTTCAGCCAAATTGAAAGTCCCCGAAAATTTGCTGCTGAAATCGATATATGCTGCTTAAATGTTAACGGATCATTAACTCGTTAACAGTGCGAAATACCACCCCAAGAGATACATTTTCGGATTCATCGCATCGAGAAGGCCCTGTATACTGATTTTCAGCCAAATCGAAAGACCCCGCCGTTTCCCGTTAAAATGTTAATTGGTCGTTAACTCGTTAACGGTGCAAAATACCACCCCAAAGAGGTACATTTTCGGAATCAGCGCATCAAGAAGGCCCCGTACACCGATTTTCAGCCAAATCGAAAGACCCCGCTGTTTCCCGTTAAAATGTTAACTGGCCGTTAACTCGTTAACGGTGCAAAATACCACCCCAAAGAGGTACATTTTCGGAATCAGCGCATCGAGGAGGCCCTGTATACCGATTTTCAGCCAAATCGAAAGACCCCGCCGTTTCCCGTTAAAATGTTAAATGGCCGTTAACTCGTTAACGGTGCAAAATACCACCCCAAAGAGGTACATTTTCGGAATCAGCGCATCGAGGAGGCCCTGTGTACCGATTTTCAGCCAAATCGAAAGACCCCGAAATATGCTGCTGTGAGGCTGATATTCGTTGCTGCTGAATTGATAGACGTGACGAATTCTCACGCAGTTGCTGACGACAAATCTGCAACTGCTGCGCCACTTTTGAATTAAAGCAGAGTGGGAGCAATGCCGCTTCAACCCTATTGGCCGTAGTGTCTAACGGTGGCGGCCATATTGCGCAGACCAGAAACCGGCTGCCGCCTGTGTTGAGGAATAGGGAATTCGGGACCTCGATTTACGTTTGCGGCCGCCGTATCCGTTACGTTCAAGTTACGTAGATACGGAACCCGGCGTCTTACGCAGAATTGAGTGGGGAACACGATCGTATCTTCAGAATTCCTCAAATTCACTCGCCTGACCTACATTTGCCCCGGCCGAGGGGGTTGATTGAACCCACCTCGCTAATGCACCGCTAATTAAACTAGAATTAAGCGGTAAAGTGGTCGTATGCGGCAAATTATAATGCAGAGTGACTGGTAGGAACCCGCTGTAAGGGTCTCAGGTCAACCGGTGACCTCTGAGGTCAGGTCAAGTGATCTAAGGCACGGGTTCGGTTTTTGGTAAATAACTTCACCAAAAATGGCCGTAGAGCCGCGATTTTGGCATCATCGTGTTCAGCTAGCTCAGGCGCATCGAGTGATATACTTTTTGTTCGGGTCAGGTCAACTTAGGGTGTTGACCTCAGGTCAAGGTCAGGTCAGCACCCCCAGGTCACGAAGTTGGTCGAAAGAGGTCATGTCGCATATCATTCGATTCGGCAGGTCTTCCTGAGTCCATTGGTGGCTTTCCCGACTCGCTAGCTCAATTTGATCGGGAGTTATTGAAGAAAAATGGTGACCCTTGTGACGTCACAAATGACGTCACGCAAGGGCAACAATGCAAATATGAAGCATAGAACCTTGCAAAGAGTGCATGAAATCATGATTTTATATGCTTGAGATAGTTTCAGATCATTCTCGGCGCCAAAATAACAATTTTCATATTTCCCCATTGACTTATAAGGGTTTGACGTATTAGTTCCTTATAGCTGATGATTTTTTAGGATT